ATATATATATATATTATACACATATACACACACACATGCACAACATGCATGCCAGTGTGTGCATGAAAGTGTGTATTGCTTGCTCGAGGGCGCAATGCATTGCAGGGCGCGCGTTGTCGGGCTAAGGCTGTTTCGGGTCAGACCCAAACGCTTTGGGCAGGATGTGCGTCAACATCCGAGCTCTGGAGATTTGGATTTTCAAGTTGGAAATGCCGGGCGAGGTTGCTGGTTCTCTTAAGGAAGGTCCTCTTGTCACAAGGCGAACGCTGAACATGATGTCTCCGGTGTTCGTGCTCCGAATCTCGAGGATTCGGCAAAGGACGGGGAATGCAGACTCCGTAGTGGACGATGCTTGCCCGCAAAATTATGTGTTACATGAGGCGGTCTTTTCAGCGACCTCCTGTGACTCACCCCGGTTTGATTCTCTGTAAGCTGCAAACCTCAACCTTCGCATCCTCATCACAAGGGTTGGCTGTAGAGACAGGCGGTCGTGGCATGCTCCCCCCCGCGTTTTAGCCCTACCGGAGAGTACTGGCAGCATCTTCTAACAAAAAATGTCCCAAAAGCTTCCTGGAAACGACCGAGATCTATTGCTGCTGCCGAGGCAGGACGTTATGTGCATGTGACGGAGCTTTATGCCTCCACAATCCTCCTTGTCTTACATGTAGCAACTTGGCATCACGTTCCGATATTTCGTAACCTCAGATTCGGCCTCTCTTACTGTACTCGGTGTGGCCGTGGCCTTCCGGCGACGTCTCCATAGAGCCTCCCCCAGGTGCTCGCGTTGCCGTAGCCTCGGTCCATGGCTCCAGTGCCAGGATGTGTCTACGATGTCGACTCGCACAGCTCAGAGATGTTTTACTTGGGAAATGAGGGTAGGTTTGCTCCCGCTAGCCCAGATGCACGATGCAAGCCCAGCGGCATGCCGCCAAGCGGTGAAGCTTGTCCTCCGGCACAGAAAACCTGGAGAATTCATGACAACAAGCCTCACATAATTTTAATCATAAGGCTGATAAGGTACCACGTACGCCATATTATCTCATGCCGGGCCTCCAGCCCCTTAAAGCCTAAAGCCTGTGCCATAAGCCGGAGAGCGCCTCAAACCCCTTACCTTTTGTGAGTAAGAAACTATAAGCCCTTAATCCTGAACTCTGTAGGCCCTTTCTACAAACCCATTTTGGGAGACCGTGGGGCCCAGTGTCATCCATGCCGAGGGGTCGGAAGATCCTCTGTTGCCTCGGATGCCACGGGAGAGGCTCGGGGGACTGTAGGGAGTAGGGGGGTTCGGGTAGCTTTTAGAGCCTGAGAGCAGGTTGGACATGAGGGCCCAAAAGACTGCGAGTACTGGCGAGCCAGCTGTGGCGTAGGCTGTCACGACCTTTTATACAGAACCAGCCTGCTTGCGTGCCTCTTATCGCAAACTACTAGGATCTAAGCTTCAAGGGCTTTCAAGATGCCTTTCCGCATGGGGCTAGCCGGCATGCCGTGCGGCATGCCGGGGTTCACGCTGTCAGTTGGGTCCCCGTGGGAAGACTTGTTGAACAAGGTGCACTACTGTGACTAGCCAGGCTTCCAAGTTCTCCCGAGCCCACATACGTCATTCTCTTATGCCAGTAGAGCAACTTGCAAATATGTCGGCAAGGAAAGTCTTGAGGGACATGTCAAACATGAAGCTTAACCCCGAGCTATAAGCCCCACACTTTGAACCAATAGCATCTTCCACTTCCCTGAACTGTTCTTTGCAGGGCCGGGTGCAAGAAATCCTCCAAGGTCTTCCGACTGATAATCTCCACGACGCGGCCCAGCACGTCGGTGGAAAAGCCGTAGGCATAGGAGTCGCCCGGATGAAATCGTAAAGGAACCTTCCAAAACACTGCGTTGACGTCTAGCGGAGCAAAGCAATTTCTGTGCGCACAGTCTAACCGCACAATCGCGGGTATGAACGCAGGTAGGCGCACATCTTTAGACCTATAAAATGTTACGTCAGTGATTGTGCATATATATATATGTATATTTCTAGATAGAAGAACATACATTGCGCTTTTTGAGCTTTCGGACGAATGCGAATCAGCAAAATGCAGACATCTGATCGAATAAACAGAAAACGCACAAAATCAGAGGCAGGCCTGACAGAACAACTGCGATAAACAAAACTCGCCTCACCTCACCTCACTGCTCAAACGTGTTGGTTCGTGCCTTGTCCCTGTTCTATTCCGGATTATATTTTAATTAGATTAAGGACCCCCAAAATAGTATTGGTAATTATTAAGGCCCCTATATTATTAGGGTCCTTAGGTGACCAAGCTTTGCCCAGCCTTCGCCAGGCGATTCACAAAGACGGCCAGACTCCGGACTTGTCCGCGGTCTACATCGCCCCTTACTAGGGTTGGGCTTGCAGAGCTCTTGGGTGCCCGGGTTTTCCTAGCGTTTAGCCAATGCTCCTGCATGCGAGCTAGTCTAGAAAACATACAGGTGCCAAAGAAAGACCCAGGGGCATAAGCTTGGCGTAGCCTTCTTCTGTGGCATCGCCGGGAACCTCGCCGAAGCCAGAGCCATACGATAGCCCGGAGGTGTGTGTCAACCTTGGAGTCAAAGAGCGTTAAGAACTAGAAGAGAGTTTCGGGGTATATTGTGCTGTAGCTATACTGAGGACTATAAGGCGAGATCTACACGGCCTTAGGTAATGTCTACCCGGGTTTGATGCTTGGGAACCGGATGAAGTCACAAGAAACATCAAAAGCAAGGCCAAATCGATAGCTGCAGGAAGTAGGACGATGGTCTTGAGGACCGGAACATACCGGAACTTATAGGGTCCTTGAGGGCACAGTGAGGGATCTATCGGTTTCTTTTGGTTCAGGGGTGATCCAGCATTTGTCGCTTCAACTAGTCGTGTGCCTTTTGTACATACCACGAACACTCGCCGCGTCAAGCTGGCAAGTCTCTTGAATGCTACAGCTGCAACCTCGATCCTGGCGTCAGGGGCTCTAAACATTTAGGCCCTAATATAGGGGCCTTAATAATTAGAATAAGGTTTTGGGGGCCCTTTATACCATGTTGAGAATAAGAACGCCTAAAATAGCGTTGGTAAGTATGTAGGCCCCTATATTACTCGGTCTTTGCTACATCGGCTCCAAGCTCTTAGAGATCCCTTCGCAGGCTGAGCAGCAAGTGGTGCATTCGCATGGTCCGTTTGGGTTTGCAAAGCCTGGACGGAGGAGACTCCTCGCTGGAGCGCGAGGCGACCACCTGTGCCGCTTCACAGGGACGCTTAGGGTTTAGGGTTTAGGACTTACGATTCTTGTACTGAGGTTTGTTTGAAAAGGGTGCTCAGCAAGAAGCTGCGGGGTTCCGGGCAAAACTGACGACCGAGTTGAGGAGCACCTTGGGTCAAAACCAAGTTAGTGGTTTATCAGTAGCAGTACCCGCAACAATCAGATGATCCTCGTGATCGTACCTTTTTGAAGCCGGATGGTCAATTGCCACCAAATGGCAGTACCAAGAAAAACCGCAAGCATCTGCATGCATGATTTCATGTTGATGTTAGCATTAGCAATGCAAGTAAGTAATTAACCCACATGCGAGTAGCATGCCCTTGCGGCTCTGGGTAAGCGCGCGCCATGGCCAGAGATTCTGTGACTCGATAAAGGGCATCATGAGACAAGCATGAACAAACGAACGGCATAATACCAACCATCACCCTTCATAAACCCTCGACCTTCGCCATCATGGCGACCATCATCTTCATGGTCATCACTGTGTCACTACAAACACCACATGCTAAGAAGGCATTGTCTCTCCAAATCCGAATCCGAAGCTCGAACTCCAATCTCCAGAATTCGGGTTCACGATTTGTACTATTTTGGACTCTCACACTAGGTCATTACGGACAGGTTTACACTCTCACAACTCGGACAATTACGGAAAAGTTTAGGGTTTAGGGCTGGAAGGTCCTCCCGGGTTCATGCCGACATGTGCCTGGACATCAGCGAAGCTTGGCAGGAACTTGGCCACCGGATCTTCCGGTCGCACCAGCCCGTCTTCCACCAACATCATAAAAGCCACCGTCACCTCATTTTTAGTGGAGAGTTCTCAGAAGGTTGACATCCTTTCAGGGGACGCCCTGACAAAACATACAAATAATATGAGGGTGTCATACTCTCAAGGAGACCCATTGCTTGCTCTTCGACGGTTTGTGTTGCCCACTGCCGCCTTCGAGCTTTCGCTGTTGCGAGCGTTTTAACTGTTTTTTTTGCCTCGTACTTAGCAAGGACGAGCCCGCATTGCAGGGTACATTGACGTCTCAGAGGTTGCATATCAAGCCTGGTTTCAGCCCGATAAATTAGGCAGAAGGGCTTTATAGGCCTTCTACTGCAGTACCGATCAGACCATGTTGGCCAGATCACACAGTGTGCTCAACATCACTGAAGGTCAACACCGAAAATTGTTACTGGGAGTCTACAACGCCCGCATCACTCAGAAGTCAAGCCAGAGCTCATAGCTACAGCAGAGGGTCCCAGGGTTTAGGGCTTATGTTGTGTACATGGCGAGAGAGTGCGCAACGACAGTTGGTAAGGCCGGATTGGAAGCAAGAGCACAAAAGTCTTGGTGACGCAGAAGACGCGACAGATGGTGTCCAGCCGGAATGCCCGGCGCGCCTCCAAGTCTGCAAAGCCGAACGCTCTGGCTTGCACGACTTCTCCCATCTTGAGCACAACACTGGCGCAGCCCGGAATCACGTTCTTGCGCGATGCGTTCTTCATAGCCATCTCGTACTTGCGAAAAGCAGAGGGACTGAGTCCCGCCGACAGCGGATCCGACACTACCAGGCTTCTGTCTTTGGAGCTGGTTCGTAGCATGCGCATGAGGCCTGGACGCCTGCAAAGCATCTCCTGCCTGGCGCGCCTCTTCGCAGTGTCCCCTTGATGTTTGCATCCCCGGCGAAGAACCATGGCTTCAGCAAGCCCTATCTAGCCCTGTCGCTGGACAGGGATTCCAGACTAGACTGAGACGGCCGCTCTAGACTCTAGACTGTCGCCGCAGCCTCACTTTGGCAATAGGGCTCCCGGAGGTCTACTGGAGGGGACAAGCATCTGCTCATGTCGTGTTTCTCAATGCCAGCCCCATCATGCTGGGATGACCTATTCATATTCCTGTTGAAACCTGTCGAAGCTCTCCGTGTTGAAATAATGTCGCGACCTCGTGCTAGCAAACGTCATGCTACTAGCCAGCAACTCCTCCAGTATGAGCACTCAACTTACTCGAAGGCAGCAAGGGAGTCGGAGCCTCCGGTGCCAGTGCCAACATCAGTTTCTGGGGTTGAGCCAGCAGCTGCGCACCACGAAACGTCAGTCGTCGCGGAATTTGATGCAGCCCGAACCTTCTCGAAATCCTCCCCAAATTGCTCTACCAAACCTGGAACACTCCTCTCACTCACCCCCGGCTGCCCCTTTGAAACACCCGTGAAACTGCAAAGGCCTCAGATGCCCACCTCCGAGTCTCAGATGCAGTGGCCTCATCACCGCGGAGGAGCGCCTCCGACCCAGGGCCCCAGGGCTTTGTGTCCGGGTTCAGGGCCGTCTAATGTAGGGGCCTACATAATTACCTATACCTATGCTATATTTTAGGGGGGCTCCTTGCTATAATTATAGTAGAATGGGCCCCCAAACCCTATTCTGATTATGGAGGCCCCTACATTACGTAGGTTAGGAAATAGATGGGAAGAGCATCACACGCCCAAAAAACAGGCCCTCGGGCACCAGACTCCCACCGAGATCTGGAACTCGACAGCACCCCCTTAGCGGCCCTGGCTCTGACTACTGGAACTCGAACTGTTTGAAGCAGTTTCTTTACGGTTGTGGTATGTTGTGGTAGTACTTGTTGGTGTTGGTGTGGTTGTTGTTGGCGGTGGTGGCTGTCGCTTCGGGGTCTTTGTAGTTATCGTTGTAGTGGCAAAAGTGGCACTGGTGGTAGTAGCAGTTGTGATCGGACCAGCAGGAGGAGTGGCAGCGGTCGCAACATCAAGCTCCTCACGGTCACGATGCGCTGTCGTGTGAGGTTAAGGGGGTTTCCAAAGGGCGTTGCTGCCGGGCCCTCTGGGGATGGTGGCTGTGGCATGGAGGTTCCGAAAAAGCGTTTCTCTTCATAATGTAGCGGCCTCAATCATTAGAATAGGGTTTGGGGTATGTTATACTATAGTTATAATAAGGGACTCCCGAAACAGTATAAGTAATTATATAGGCCCCTACATTATCCGTCATCGCATGCATGAACATGCACATATGCTTGGCACTACCCGCGAATGTGTAGCTTGCTTGCTGATGCTGGGGCCCTGGCACTCTGCAGCAGATACCTGGGCTTTTCAGTATTCAGGCTCTGGACTCGGCTGAATTCATGTGTTTGAGACTTTTGCATTTGTGGGTCCAAGGGCCTAGGCTGCTTGAAGGTTCCAACATATTCGTTGACTTAGTCAGGCTCGTATTGTGTATGGGCGATGGTCGTTGTGCACAAAAATTGGACAATCCTCACTCACATTTTCAAAGCCAGTCGCCACTACGAGAGCTTCAACGAACGACATCCAACCTCTTCGCCGGCTTTCCTTACGGTGCAGGACTTGCTTAAAGAGCTCTAGCCCTTAGACCATCCTGGACGGAGGTGGGGTTCCAGCGTTGGGAACCTGACTGGATCCTCCATAAGGTTACAAGCCAAAGCTTTCGGGTCCACGTGGTTTCGACGCTCACTCTCGCACAAGGCAGGCAAGGCTCCAAAAAAGCCCTGTGCTTTCGGGCTTTGGTGGGGTTGATAAGGTCAACTCTCACTCCAGACCCCTGAAAAGACGCTGAACCCTAAACAGAAACCCCTAGACCCCCATCGACCCCAACTCCCAGACGCAGAAAGGGCCCGGGGCTCCGACATTTGACGGCGTGCAGGTGCATAGGCCTGTGTCCAAGGGAGTTTCATAAGCGATGCTTTAGCCTTCTGTCGATCGTGTTTGGGTTTCTGGAGGTTTTGAAGTCAAAGCTAAAGCTGCTTGACTGGGTTTTAAGCTGCCTCCGTCCGGGTAAATGCCAGATGCAGTTTTTTGGAGGCCAAAGTGCTTGTGCTAAGCTGCAATCTTGAGCAAGCTGTGCACAAGATCTGGTTTAGGGTTTAGGGTCTCCAGGTGCATTTCAAGACCATTTGGTCCTTTGACAAGTGAGTCGAGTCGCTCCACGAAGCTCCGCCGAGGGCGGGGGTGGTCATCGCAGTTCTAGCCCAGGATCTCACAGAAACAGCAAATTCAGGGACGCCCCTCGTAGACGTCTCGCACCCGGTGTCTCAGCTTCGGTGTCTGACGCTCTTAGAGGCCTTTTGCGCTTGTCTAAATTCCGGTCGGCTCTTCGGCATCTTCGGGCAAGTAACTTAAGGACAGGTCCAGCTTGTGACTCGGGGGCGGCGGTCCGGCGATTAGTGGAGCGCATTAAGAACATAGCAGACCAGCCATCCAGGTTCAGTTTTCACAGTCTCCAACCCGGGAAGTTGTAAGCAACCACAACTGGATGTGCGCCGTCTGACTCAATGCCACCTCGTGAAGCCGTCTGGAGGCGGCCTGCGTGAAGCCCGGCACAGTGAGGCTTTTGGGGCTTAAGGGGGCGTAACAGGTATTAGTCTCTGGCCGTCTAGAAATTTCCCGCCCAGAAAACTTTCGGCCTGGAGCGAAGTGAGCCTAACGTTGCAATCGAAAAGCATGCGGTGTAGTCCAGATCTATCGATTTCACAGAATGGACGGCTGCAGTTTCCGCGGCTGGTGTGCCACATTTGGCTCAGATTGAGAATGAGAGAGACAGCTGCAGCTTCTTGCATGGGGGTCACCACCTCGAGTGACATCGACAACCCTTCATCTCACCGAAACGGCCCTGTCAAAACAAGGTTTGCTTGCTCGGGCGGCCCCAGGGTGTCCTGCAGCTCCAGCAGCTCTTCGTTGCAGTCGCTCAGGCGCAGGTCCAGAAGGGCCTTAACAAAATGAAAGAGCGCTGAGAGTTGAGGTTGTAGGCATTTCGGTGTTTCATTATCAGAAATGACAGGCTTTAAGCAAGCTGGACGGGCGCGATGAGAGAACGTGTTACGGTGAGGATGAGGACGCACATGCTTTTTAGCATCTCGGTTGTCTCAGCATTCGGGCTCTGGCTTGGGTGTGGAATGGGATTCCAGGAGGGAAGGTATGGGGCGTCGGTTGCTGAAGATCTGATTGTCAATCTTCACAGTGTTGGCATAGATCCTTCACCCACATTTCCTAACTAACCTTACGCCCTCAACAGTATCTGCTGCACTTCACGGCCTGGGTTCTGCTGTCGTTGGGTTAAAGTTCTTGGGTTTGCATGCGACCGAAATAAACAAGCTGCCATCCCACGATGCCAAGGCCCGTGCGACGAGGGCATGCGGGCTGGTAGGTTTTACCTCGGGTGGGCGTCAACATGGTGCAAACACCTTGCATGTTCCTTTTATCGAACATTCTTTAGATTGCACTAAAATCTATCCGAAACCTTGGTGTAAGGATTGCATAGCACCCTCTCCCAACGTTCCAAGAACATGAGCCAGGCATTTTTCGCGTGGAACGGCCAACAATCTAGCACCGGGGGGGGGGGGGGGT